ACTTTGGCTCAGGTCGTGATCTCATGGTCCGTGAGTTTGAGCCCTGCATCAGGCTCTCTGCTGTCAGCTCAGAGCCTGCTTTGGATCCTCTGTCCCCCTCTCCCTGTACTTCCTCCATTCATGCTCTCACCCTCAAAAATAAACATTAAAAAAAAAAAAAAAAGCGAGGTGGGGCACCTGGGTGGCTCAGTTAAGCATCCAACTCTTGGTTTCGGCTTAGGTCATGATCTCATGGTTCGTGAGTTCGAGCCCCACATCAGGCTCTGTGCTGACAGTGCAGAGCCTGCCTGGGATTCTCTCTGTCCCTCTCTCCCTGCCCCTTGCCTGTGCACATTCTCTTTCCCTCTCAAAAATACATACACTTTAAAGAAAAAATTAGAACTTCTAGCTCAAGTAGTTCATCAGCTCAATACTCAATAATCTCCACATGGTTTTCCGTATAATGACTATTCAACGATAGTAACAATTAACATTTACCATAAGCTCTCAAGAAAAGGATAAATAAAAGAGGAAAGGTAGTACTAAACAGAAAAGAACTACTATGAGTAGTTGGTTTGTTTTTGCCTTAAGGGAAACTGATATCATCCCATCCTGATTTTCTTATGGACAAGAATATGCCAATTCTCCTAAATTGAGCCCTCTCCAACACCCGTATTGAGGAATCCTTTCCTCAGGTTATTCCAGATCTCTGAATACAAAGCTTCCCCCTATTTGACAGACTCTACCCCACTGGCATTCATTCATTCATTCCCTCACTCAGCACAGATTTAATGAGCCCGAACCAAATGCTGTGCCCACTCCTTTCTTTCGCCATTCACACAGTAGTGAAAAGACAAGTTCTCTGCCTCATGAAGCTCACAGTCTATTGGGAAAGGCAATATATAAATAAATAAAAATATATTATATATGTATATAACAAGAATTTTTAAATCAAGCAAAATAAGGAAATAGAGCAACAGGAAGAACGATCCTCCTATCCAAAGAGAGAATGTTTAAGCAGGGACATGAAGCAAGAAAGGGACACATGAGAACGTCTGAAAAAGAGAACAGCAAAGACCCGAAGAAAAGGGTGTGTGGGTACAAATCCAGCACGCTAAGAGACAGTCCCCATAACTCACTTTACTGTATGTAGAGAGCTGATCCTTCAGGTTCTGACAATGCAGCAGGGTGCCCAGGGCTACTTGCTGGACCAGCTGTTGAAATTTTACATTTTTGGAAACAAAATCTGTCTCACAGTTTACCTGTGGGAACAAAGTTACATCGCTGTGTAAGCTCTTCACTGATGGTCTCCCAAAGTGTCTTACGATGCAGAGAAAACCAAGGGGTTGTAGAACAAGCTGCAGGCTCAACACGACAGAAATAAATGGCCCCAGAATTTTTTTCCCTCTGACTTATGTCACCCAGCATAATACCCTCCAGTTCCATTTCTATCTTGCAAATGGCAAAATTTCATTCTTTTCCATTGTCGAGTAATATATGTGTATATGTGTACACACACACACACACACACACACACACACACACTCCATCTTCTTTATCCATTCATCAGTCAATGGACATTTAGTGACCCCAGAATTTTAAAGCTGCAGTTCCTCTCCGAGCTCAAAGTCAGAAACTGAATGGATTCCTGCCCTACCAGTGAGTTAGCAGTGACCCACATATTCACAAGATGGTTCCATGGGGTCCCCCAAGGACTCATATGAGTTCACTACTTGCCTGTAACTGCAGGCCTTCATCACTTCATTCTCCAGCCTCTTCCAACGCCAAGCCCTTCTGCTGCCAGCGTGCTTATCTCCTTTTCTCACTCTATACTAATCCACAGCTGATTCTTTGCCAGTTAAGGGCCCTAAACCTTTATCCTCTGAAACAGCTACTTGGGGCGTCTGGGTGGCTCAGTCCGTTAAGTGTCCGACTTTGGTTCAGGTCACGATCTCACAGCTCGTGAGTTTGAGCCCCACATTGGGCTTTCTGCTGTCAGTACTGAGTCTGCTTCTGATCCCGTCTCCCTCTCTCTCTTCACCTTCTCCACATGCTCACTCTCTCTCAAAAATAAATGAACATAAAAAAAACAAAAACAGGGGCACCTGGGTGGCTTAGTCGGTTAAGCGTCCGACTTTCGCTTAGGTCATGATCTCGCGGTTCGTGGGTTTGAGCCCCGCGTCGGGCTCTGTGCTGACTGCCAGCTCAGAGCCTGGAGCCTATTTCAGAGTCTGTGTCTCCCTCTCTCTCTGACCCTCCCCTGCTCACGCGCTCTCTCTCTCTCTCCTAGAAATAAATAAAAATATTTAAAAACAAAAAAAACAAAAAAACAGCTACATGCTATCCGTCAACTAATTAGTATAAATGCCTAGCTTTAAAATCTGTCCCAGGAAACAATCCATGACAAGGTGTAAGTCTACAGGAGGCTCACATTCAGAAGTACAGGCATGCCCCACTCTCTGAAAGTAGAGTGCTCCTATAAAACCTTTTGTAGGCCAAAATGGCACAAAGTAGAAAAACCAATTACCATTCATTTATATGGAAATGGATGGCCAAAATAAATCGGGACAGAAAGCACCGATGCAGAGAGTTCAAAGCTTTGGTGGCTGGATCCTGAGACGCTGAGTATAGTTCGCTGAGTATAGTTCACCGGAGAACAAGTCTAGCGGAGTAACTCACTACTACCGCATCCCCTGCCTCTCTAATGGCTCAGTGCAAAACAAAGGCTGAATGCTATTTTCACTTTTTGCCCTTCTTCATAAAAGTGAAACGACTCTCCAGATTTCTTTTGGTTAACAAAAAACAAAAACAGGTATGAATATAGGTCTTTTGTAAAAGCAAAGTGCATAACACAAACCTTTGAAAACTGGGGGGTTTTCTGTAATTTTTTTTTAAATGTTTTATTTATTTCTAGGAGAGAGAGAGAGAGAGTGTGTGTGAGCAGGGGAGGGTCAGAGAGAGAGGGAGTCACAGACTGAAACAGGTTGAGCTGGCAGTCAGCACAGAGCCCGACGCGGGGCTCGAACCCACGAACCACGAGATCATGACCTAAGCGGAAGTCGGACGCTTAACCGACTAAGCCACCCAGGTGCTCCAAGTTTTCTGTAATATTTTTAACTGCTAGACCTTTAACTGTTAAGACACCTGTGCCTTTCTACACTTATGTGAATTCACAATGACTGTGGTCTCACCAGTTTATTTACTCATTTCTTTTGTGAGAGAGAGCGCACGCATGCATGTGCGTGGAAGAGGGGCAGAGGAAGAATCCCAAATAGGCTCTGCACCATCAGTGTCAGTAAAGAGTCAGATGCTTAACCGACTGAGCCACCCAGGGCCCCCACACCAGTTTAATTCCAGCAACCTCTTAGCGTCTTCTTTAGGAATGCAAAGGATTGGGGCGCCTGGGTGGCTTAGTCGGTTAAGCGTCCGACTTTCGCTTAGGTCATGATCTCGCGGTTCGTGAGTTCGAGCCCCACGGCGGGCTCTGTGCTGACTGCCAGCTCAGAGCCTGGAGCCTGTTTCAGTCTGTGACTCCCTCTCTCTCTCTGACCCTCCCCTGCTCACGCTGTCTCTCTCTCTCTCCTAGAAATAAATAAAACATTAAAAAAAAAAAAAGAATGCAAAGGATCTACCACAAAGCTTCACACCCAAGGGGCGGCTGCTCCCGGTCTCTGGAATCTGACAACTCACCTCTACTAACACAGTTGTGTTTCCCTCTTGTAGCAGCCCAATGAGACCTTCTTTAGTTTTCCTGCCATGGAGTTTGGCGGCTCTGCTCCAGCCTTCCTTCTGGGCCCGCTTGTGGAGCCAGCTCTCTGCCTATGAATTGATAACAGAGCAAAGGTTACAGAATCCAGAACTGAAAGGGGCTCTACAGTATGTTCTGGTCCCCCAACTCTTTCTGCTTCTCCTCAATCCTATAATGGAAACTAAAGTGGTCTGTCATTTACTGGCAGCCTACCACGGACCGCCAAATACCAGCACCAGAGCTTGGTGCTCTGGACAAGTTTAATCTTCACAACACCCTGATGGGGCGGCCAGTAGTATTTTTATTATACAGGCAAGAACGATGCCATCTCTGAAAGATCAAGTAAGGTGTCCAAGATCACAGCGTTAGTGCGAAAGCACCACGGTTTGAGTCCCAGTGGGCGGTGGGTCTGACTCCCAAAGCTCACAGAAGCCCCTTCGGCCCCAAGCAGCAAAAACAGCATAGCAGTAGTGCTTGGAAAACGGTTTGTTAACCGTGGGATCCAGAGTTCGTTGCTTCTAGAGCTAAAACACAGTAAAAGGGAGAGGCCGTCATTTTAAGTCGGAATCCTACCTACAGCTGTGCCATGACGGTCACTGGGCAGCAGGTCTGATTTACTGCTCCCCGGCAGCACCTCTCTGGGAGACTGAAGTCGGGCCCTACTAACCCGCCCTGCTCCCCTCGTCCTCCTCCCCCACACCTGCTTGAGATCCCCGCTACAAGCCTCCAGAGCTTTCTTGCAGTTCACAAAGGAGTAGCCTGTTTTTCGCCGCAGCTTCAGGAGAAGCTCCTTGCTGGAGGCCGAGGAAGACAACCCGGGCCCGGCGTGAAACGTGTGCCTGGGCTGAGACGACTGAAGCTGAAGAGGCCCCACCTGCAGGGGTAAGAAGAAAGGTATGAGAAGCTAGAAGCAGCCAGGAGCCCCGGGAAGTGGGAAGCACGTCAGCAGGGAGGCCACCTTAGGAGAGACTGGGGCTCAGGGGGTGGGGAAAGGCAGCCAACCGGGGACTGGACCGCGAAAACACTGAGGTCGTTGGAAGGGTGGGATGGAGTCGAACGGGGGGCGGAGGAAGGGCAGGGTGCGTTCCGAGCGCACGGGAGATCCTCAAGGAAAGCGGGACGGTGCCGAGGCCAAGACCCCTCACCGAGCAGGTCCCGGCCCGCGCGACCAGGCAGAGACGCAACGACCGAAGCAGCGACATCTCTCTGATCCCGAACCACACTTCCGGCGTTCGGCGCACCGGTGAGGCCACAGGCCTACGGCGTGGCGGCAGGACCAAACTTCTCCAACGCAATGCAAGCGAGGACAGCGCCACCTGCTGGCCGGGTGTGGGCACGCTCGCCTCCTTCGCTTCGCTTTCTGAGACTGCATTTCACAAGGGAATTATCCGCCCCCCCCCCCCCCCCCCCGGGTAAAATAACGCAAACCGTGAGACAAAGTTGTCGCAAAATAACAATCCAAGACATGTAGCAACACTTTATGCTTCTTTATTTCCATTCATCTTTCATAGTCATTATATATTTAAGACTAAAGACAAACTTGTGAGGTAGGTGGGTGGGTTCGGAAATTTGGCCAAGGTGGCCTAGGGAGGAGGTAGGGTGGAGTCCCTTCAACAAACCCTGTGAATATTTGTTGAATGAGCAAAATAGTTGTGGAACATCTACCACATGCCGGGAGGTGTGCTACGCTTCACGGAATTAGAGGGGAGTAAACCACAACCCTACCCTCCAAGGTAATCTAATGGTGAGAAAATAGGGAACAGACAAAGGACCACCCAAGACACACCCATGAGATGAACAGTGACAGGGGCTCTAGAGAGAAAGAAATCACATCCAAGTAAGAGGCTCAGTAAAATCTTTTTTTCAGGAAAGAGGCTAAGAGTAATAAAGATTTTGACAGGTAGAAATAGCCCTTCCAGGCAGGGAGGAAGTCATCAAAGAGAATGAAGAAAACGGGGAATTGGGGTGTGGATTTAGGGAACAGAGTAGACATGTGTAATTTGCCCAGAGGTTGCAGGACATGTAGGAAACCAGTTGAAAATGCAGTAGAAGGGTAGTTTGGGGTCACACAGGATAAACCGAGCACCAAGCCAAGAAGCTTATTCTCGCTGTAGGCAGCAGAAGCCAGGCACAGCTGATTTTGGAAGATCACTAGAGTTTGATAAATGGCTTGAAGGGGAGAGAATGGAAGCCAGGAGGCCAGGGGAGGGGATATGCGGCCCAAGGAGTATGTAAAGAGAGCCCCAAGCAGAGGTACCGCAGCGGGGAGAGAAAAGAGGTGAAGACAAACACACTAGGAAGGACCGACAGGACTTGGAAACCTAAAGAAAAATCAAAGATGAGAAGAACCCAGTGCTTAGTGATCAGGGCTCCAGCTCCAAAATAGATGAAAGAATCTATAGTCCAAAGGACAACTCTGCTGCCTGTCCCTGGCTTCAGGGCAGGGAGGACTTGACCCAGTTAGAACCAGGGTCCCACCAGACTCTACAAGCAAGAAGTCGGTGGTCTGAGGCTTCATCCCTCCTAGCCCCCACCCTCCCACCCCCAGCAAAAGCCAGAATTCTTTGGATGCAGAAATGATCTTCATTCCCTTAAAAAAAAAATGTTTTTCACTAGAATCTAGAATCCATTCTGTATTAAAAAAAGAGAGAGAGAGAGAGAGAGAACAGGACCAGAAGGGTTCAGTGACAGTCTCTCTACAGCCACTGCTCTTACTTCCCATTTGCCTCCCCTGCCCCTAAAAATCCTGGATACCCTCCTGTCTTCCTCCTCTGAGAACAAGAGCTGAGAACAGCCTTTGTGCTCTAACCCAGTGCTGTTAGGGCTCTAAGATTCCTAGCAAGCAGGCACCTCCCTGCACCTGTCCAGGAGTATCTGGGGGAACAAAAAGGGAAGGAGGAAAGAGAGAGGCAAGGGAAGCCCACACTTCTTCCTTGTGTTTACGGCTTTGGAAATATGGCAGTTTCTTTCTTAGGACAGAGGTTCTTTCAGAGGAGCAGAAGGGTGATGTCAAGCAGGTCTTGGCTCCCTGTGCCTGGCCCTATAGATGTTGACATTCTCCTCCTCATCCCGCTGGGCCAGCTCCAGTTGGAAATGCTGGGGCAGGAGGTGCTGAAAGAAGCTCTCTGTCCCGTGCTCCTCTCTCATCTTGGAGGCCAGATAGATGGTGCCATGGGGCCCGCATAGGTGTTGGAGGGTGCCCAGCAGCAGTGGGAAGGTGGGCTCCAGGTACACGATATCGGCCCCCAGCACCAGGTCATAGTCTCCAGGGAAGACATGCTGGTCAATCCCCCAGGACAAGGCGCGGACCTGGGCCCGGCCTCCAGCCGGCACATTGGCCCGGACGTTGCCCCGGATCTGCTCTAGGGCCAGGGGCAGGTCAGTGATGGTAACATCCCCCCCTGAGAGAGAGGAAGGAGGAGAAATGCAAGTCAGAGGGACCAACCGAGGGGTCTCGGCTCCTGCCCAGAGGGTCCAGAGACCTCAGGGCCTAGAGGACAGTGTCTTGACAGCCAGAAGTGAACATTTTGGCTTTCAGTTACCCTCACCTCCATCTCACCCACTGCCATTCTCGTTACATTCTATAACATCAGCATTCTCTCTGAGCTAATATTCGACCTCTCTGCCCAACACGCAGCAATCAGCTGTCAGCAGAAGCCTGGGCAGGACCAAGCTGGACATGGCTGCGCACCCAGCCTCTACTGACTGAAACCAAACTTCATGGGTCTGGAAAACTTCCCAGAAGACATGACCTCAGCAAGCCTTAAAGGACAAGTAGGAGTTAGTCAGGTGGAGCTTTGCAAGCAGAGAACAGAAAGTACAGAGGCCTGGTGGCGAGAGAAATTCATATTCAAGGAAGGCTGAATCTTAGGGGACGTGGAAGGGAGGAGAAAAGTGTCAAGACACGAGAATAATGACGACATGCTGAAGAGACTCAGGCGGGATCCTGAGGGTGGTAGGTTTTATAGGTAGAAGCAGAGGGTGAAGATGATCAGATTAGCACTTCAGAAAGCTTCGTTTAGGCAAGAAATATATGTATTAGGCAGTACAGTGGTGATCAAGATAAAACCTCAGCCTTCCTTGAGTTTTTTTCAGAGTTTTTGAGTTTTATTTTACACTAAGTACTGCAAAACTAATCATGATCATGATGACTGTTACAGAAACAGGAAGTACTAGGAATTCCTTTCTTCATTAATATTTGTTACGTGCCTATATGCCAGGTGCTGAGAATACAGCAGTGACCCAATCAGACAAGAATCCCTCCACTCATGGGAATTATAGTCTAGTGGCAAAAATAAATAAATAAATAAAAATTTAAAAAATGGACAATGAACAAAACAAGTAAAAGAAGCTCCACTGGACATCAAATGGTAATAGATGTTATGATGAAGCATTAAGCAGAGAAGGGGGATAAGAATTGCTTAACGGACGGGGCAGGGAATCGAGTGGTTAGGAAAAGCCTCACTAAGCAGATTGTGTTTTGGGCAAAGACCTGAAGGAAATGTTGGAGCAAACCATGTGGACCTCTCAGGCTAAAATGCACCAAATGAGGGACTAGCAAGTGCAAAGACCTTGAAGCGGGGGTGTGTCAGCAGGTCTGAGAAAGAAGAGGAAGGCCGGCGGCTGGAGCAGAGTAGGTGAGGAGGAAAGCATGGGCCAGATCCTAACCAGGGCATTATAAAGAGGCTGTGAGAAATTTGGTGTTTCATGAGTGAGACGGGAAGCTATTGGGGAACTTTAAGTGGAAGAATGGCATAAACTGACTTCTGCTTTAAAAAGATCACTCTGGGGATGCCTGAGTGGCTCAGTTGGTTAAGCATCCGACAGCTCAGGTCATGATTTCACAGTCTGTGGGTTTGAGCACCGCATCAAGCTCTGTGTTGACCACTGAGAGCCTGGAACCTGTTTCAGATTGTGTCTCCCTCTCTCTCTGCCCCTCCCCTGCTTGTGCTGTCTCTCGCTCAAAAAAAAAAAAAAAAAAGAAGAAATAAACATTAAAAGTAAATAAAATTATCTTTTAAAAGGCACTCTAGCTGCTATGATGAGAAAGGACCACAGAGGGGAGGCCAGAATCAAAGAGACCTGGTGGAAGGAAGCTACAGAGACCCAGGTGAGAGGTGATGGTGGTTTGAACCAGGGCAGTAGCAACATCTAAGAAGTGGTCGGATCCTGAGTGATTTTGAAGGTATAGTCAACAGGGTTTGCTGACAGATTGGATACAAAATACTACAGAGAGAGGGAGAGAAGTTGAGGATGGGTCCAAGATGTTTGACCTGACTAGCTAGAAGACCGAATTGTCATGTACTCAGAGGAGGAAGGCTGTTGGAGGAGCAGAACTGGACATGAAGATCATGAGTTCCTTTCTGAACACATTAAGCATGAGAGGCCCCTCAGACAACCACGTGAAGATATCAGTAGGCAGGAGGTTCCATAAACAAGTACGGAAATGGAAAGTGGGGAGTTATAGAGTCATCAGCACAGAAAACTTATTTAGACCCATGAGGTGACGGGATTGCTCGGGAGTGAGTGTACACCGAAAACAAAAGGGGTCAAAGGACTGCTCCTGAGCCCTGGGACACTGAAACTTCCCTTGGTCAAGATACAAAGAAACCAATAAATGAGAGTGGAAAAGAGTGCCGGTGAGGTAAGCAGAAGGGAGAGGTATGGTACCCTAGAAACAAAAGGAAGCATCTCAAGGCAGAAGAACAGTCAAATGCTGCAAAGTCAAGTAAGGCAGGCTTATGGCTAACTCCGGTACTTACCAACATGGAGTTGGAAATGAAGCTCACAACCTTGACTGCTGCAACTGGAGGCGGAAATGTAGAACAGACGGAGGGAAGAATAGTAAGACAGGTACTACAGACAATGATGAGTAACTCTTTTGAGGAGTTTTGTTGTAAGCAGAACAGAGAAATGGGGTGGTAACTGGAGGAATATGGAGGACCAATTTTCTTCTGAGATAGGAGAAAATATATCATATTTATAGATGTGTATAGATGTGTATGCATACGTAGACACACACACACATAGAATGTTCCAGGGACAAGGAAAACTGATAATGCAGGGGAGACTGGGGTTCGGGGGAGGTTTGCCGGAACAATGTTTTTGACTAGATGAGAAGGTTTGGGGTCTTATGACAAGTAGAGGGCTTGACCTTAGCTAGGGGCGTAATGTGTTCGTCCATGGTAACAGGAGAGAAGGCAGCCTTTAAAACAGACATAGACAGGTGAGCAGATGTTATGATAGGAATGTGTGGACACTTTCTATGAGAAAATAGAAGCAATCAGAAGAGATGGGCAACAAAGTCATCAGCTGAGGGTAAGGTGGGGGGAGGAGGCATTGGGAGGTTTGAAGGCAAAAAGGTAAGCAACAGATTAAGTGGAAGAATAAGTGGACAACGGAAGAGTAATAGACTAGCTGTGTAGCAGGTAAGTACTCACCTGAGGTCGGTAACAATAAATTTAAAATGAAACCAGTCAGCACAGTTGTATATATACTATGAGGGCCCACCTTAGCCTGGAGGTGGGGATATCAAAGAGGTGTCCCCTTGGAAGTGATGTTTGAGCTGAGCATTGAAGGATGCATAGGAATTAACCAGGTGGTCCAAGGATTTCAGACAAAGAGTAGTCTGTGTGAAGGCTCCAAGGAAGGGAACATCAAGACAGACTTGAGGCACAGACAGAAGGGCAAGAGGTAGCACGAGGAGTACAAGAAGGGAGGGAGAGGCACAGAAAGAGGCCAGAGAGGGAGGCAGGATCTTGGAGGCCATGCTAAAGGTGTTGCTTTGATCTTGAAAGAACAAGAAGTCATTGAAAGATGGGGGGTGAGAGGTGAGTACAATTGCATATTTGAAAAGATCACTCTGACTGCTGGGTAGAGTGGGCAGAAGTCTAAGAGGGGGCAAGGAGTTAAAGCAGGAAGACAAGTTTGAGTAAATGTAGTGATCCAGGCAAGTGACGGGGGTGGCATAGACTGGGGAACCATCAGTGTTGATGGAAGACCATGACGTTCAAGAGATTTTTTGGACATAAAATTGGTAGGACTTGAATAATGGATATGGGGGTGAGAAAAGGGAGCATGTCAAAGGTGATGTCTCGGTTTCCCACTGGGGAGATGACGGTTTGATTAATTGAGATGGGGGGAGCCTGAAGGAGAAACGGCCTGGGTTCAGGAGGATCACAAGATCTAGTTTAGGCATGCTAACCTTCCCAGGGGAAAGCTGGAAGACACTTGTGAAAACCCAGGGAAGGAATAGCAGTGGCCTGAACTAGAGATGGTAGGAAGAGGAGCAGACAGGAGGGGAAGTATTAAGGACATATGACTGATTGACGGAATGTGAACGGGAGAGGGCAAGGGATAAGATGACACCCAGATTTCTTACTTGGCAGCTGAACTGGGGGCAAAGGAGGAGAAGCCAGTCTTTGAGCATATAGAAATAGGTGTTCCCATTCATTTTGCACACTTTTCTCTCATCTTGGCATAACTACACACCTCTCATCCACACATCCATTGTGGAAAATTGCTCTTAACACTCCCTGGTTCTTTCTGAGCCTGCTGCATCCACACTGTTCACTTTCTCATCTGCCAGAGCTTCTCTTTGATGAACTCCCAGGGACTCAAGGGAGGCATAGCCAGAGCATGTCCACTGGCTCTGTGCATACATCACCATAATTCCAGAACTGGAACATCTTCTGCCACCTTCCCCACTAGACCATAAGCTCCTCAGGAACAGGAAATCTGTCTGACTCACTGTTGTATCCCAATACCTGGCATGATTCTTGGAACACAGAAGACTCCAAGTACATATTGATTGAATGAACAGAAGAATGAATGCCTGCCTCTGGGAAGACTTCCCTGAATGTGACCTAGTTGTGCTTCCATGAACAAAGAATTTTGCATTGACATCGTGTTTTAAATGAGTATTTGGTGTGTGAGGTTTTGCCTGCCTATTAGATTATCAAGTAAGGAAATGTTTCCTTTTGCAGTTTTGGGTTCTTGATAAAAATGAAGCAAAATTTCCCTTCCCTTTTCCTTTCCCAAATCTGTGGTGCCTAATTCCTACCCCACTTCCACAAAAACCACCCTAACCCTCAGAAACTCAAGCTTATTTCTCTCAAGCAGTCAAAACCTTAAAAATCTAAAATATATTCATAATAAAGTTATAAAGCACTCCTGAGGTTTAATACATGCAGACTGCTTCCCCTACAGAGTGCCCCCACACACGCATTTTGACAAAATACCAGGTCCAAAGCAAAGGCGATTATAAGTGACAGCACTATCCATGAAAGCACAAAGAGCAAAAAGGTAGAAACAACTCCTTCCTCTAAAGCCTGCCCGATTTTTATTTCCAGCCCCCAAATGAAATACCCTGGGTGCTTTCTCTGGCACACAGAAAGATGCACGCGCACACACACGCGCGCGCACACACACCCACAAACACACACACCTTTTGTTAAAAAGAGACTGGTCTGGTTGCAAACCACTCCCTTCCCCCAAGAATCCAGGGAGTGACTATTTCTCCACCACCCAGTCCCCGCCACTCCCTCTTGCCACGAAGCTCACGCACCCTGCAGCGCAGCCAAGATCCCCACGATGCCCGTCCCCGCGCCCAGTTCGATCACTTTCTTGCCTCGGAAATCCACATTTTGACTTTCGAAATAGTTGCACAGGCTCAGAGCCTACGGGGGGTGGGGGAGAAGAGAGGGAGAAAAAAGTGTCGCGGGGACGGCTCCATATGGGAGAGGGAGAGTCCGGGATCTGGCCCTCCCGGGGACCCTTGCCCAGAGCCGCCCGCTCCTCACCGCGTCCCATACACACGCGGCCACTCCAAGGCGGGAGCCGAAGTTCTGTGTGATGCTCAACACGTGTCCACAGAAACAGAACCTGCTCTTCTCCGAATAAGAGTCGGCAAAGAGCCCAACTTCCCGCGGGAACACGGATTCGGACTCTGATTCAGGATCTGCGCGGGGGTCCGCCATCTCGCCGAGAAAGCGCGCGGACGCCGCGTCCAGCTCTGGGATCCCGGATCTGAGGCGGGGCAGGGGTCGGGGGCTGCGGGTCCACTCGGCTTCCTAGTGGCACCGAGCCCCGCCTCCCGGAGTTCTCCCTCCCTCCCGCAGCTTGACTTCCTGGAGGTGGGATGAGGAGCTGCTCCTCCCGCTCTGGTCCCCGGCGGACACCCGACGGGGCTCACGTCGAACCACGCAGGGCAGACCTGGCGGACTGGCCCGCGACCGGGGTACTGGGTGGGGGCGGTGGAGCGAAGATCAATTCTGTCGGAAGCGGGGTCCTGGGACCCCTCTCACTTGCGGGGTACATAGGTGCCCGCAACTAGGATGGTAACCCAGACCACGCAGAAGCGGGCTAAGCAAAGAGGTAGGGTGCTAAGTCAAGCCTTGCCAGCCCAGCAGGAGACCGACGCTTCGAAGGCGCCCTCCGGATCCGGCCACCTCGGGATCTGGCCCCCTCTGGCCCTCCGCGCCGAGGCCCGCCGAATTCGCTCTGGGTCTTTAAGAGGCGGGGTCTGCTCACAACGTGTCTGATTGCGTCATCAGCGTGCGACTGGGGCCTTCGTCTCCACGTGGGTTCTGTGGAGTAACCCGCGAGTGAGGATCATGGCGGGAGCCGAGGAGGCCCCGCAGCCCCAGAAGCGCTACTATCGGCAACGTGCTCACTCCAACCCCATGGCAGACCACACGCTGCGGTAGTGAGTGAGGGGGGACGGGAGCAGCGGGAGGCAAAGGAGGACGGAAGGCTCGCAGCAGCCCGCAGCAACCGGGAAAGACCATTGTGCTGAGACTGTCAGCAGGGTCTCAGACGAGGAAGAATCGGCAGGGTGACGTCAGCTTTAGGGGTGGGACGGGGAGATTTGGCGGGGGGCGGAGTTGAGGACGAAAGGGGGCGTGGCTTCTGGCCGTAGTCTCACCGGTCCAAGTCTAGGGAGACAAAGTAACTTGCTAAGACTGGAGTGTTGCGGGCAGAATATCGTTTACATCTTTCGGTTTCGTTGATCGGATTTAATAAAAAGACAAGCATAAACATAAATCCCGCCCACCCCTTACTCCATCCTCTTACCACAAAGCACACAAAAATAGTAAGGTCCCACCCAGTGCGTTAGGCGGTCAGTCTCTGGGGTTAGGGGAACTTGTGCCCCAGAAAGGAGAGCCGCCTGACCGGAGTCGCATCAACTCCTAGAAATGGAGATGGCCAGGTCAGCAATCACGAATGAGCCTCATGATGGGCCTATGATTCACACTGGGGGTTAAGGGTGGTTTCCATTGTGTCTGCTAGAGACCACAGGGCTCACTATTACAGAATTTTTGAGAAATGCTCTTCCCATTTACTTCCCACCCTTACATAACCGCCCACACACATGTAGTACCATTTATTCAATGGCATGACCAGCCTTCTCATGTCTCTCATGTCTTCTCTCCAATAGCCCTGTGAAGCCAGAGGAGATGGACTGGTCTGAGCTATACCCAGAATTCTTCGCACCACTGAATCAAAATAAGAGCCACGATGACGTAAAGGATAAGAATGAAGAGAGAGCTCAGGCCCAAGTAGAGTTTGCAGACATAGGCTGTGGCTATGGTGGCCTGTTAGGTAACACTCTGGCCTTTTCTCTAGGGCAAGAGGCAACGCCTGGGTTCTGCTACCTCAGCGGGTTTGGTGGGGGCCATAGTTGGCCTTTCCCCTTCGGACCAGACTCCAGTGCTGTGACATCAGTGTGGAGAGCCTCTACCTTCCCTGTACTCGGGGTCTGTGGTCTTTGCCCTGCAGGAGGGAGGGTGTTGTCTCAAATGCTTCTTAGAACTTGGGTTGTTGTCTGGCCCCACCCCTGGCCTCACTCCCTACTTGAGCCATTTCACCTGCAAGGTGCCGGGTCAGTGAGCTGGTCAGCACAAGCGTCAGAGATTAGTCACTGTGGCCAGTGATCCTGAACTGTCTTTCTCAGGGATTCCACCACTTTCCCTCCTCTCCCCCCTTCTTCACCAGAACTCATTCTTTCTGCTCTACTCTCATGTTTTCGAGTTTCTCTTGTATTGTCACAGCCATGCGTGCCAGGCCACTTCTCTATTTTTATTTTGTTATTTTTAATGTTTATGTATTTATCTTGAGAGAGAGAGAGACAAAGAGTGTGAGTGGAAGATGGACAGAGAGAAAGACACAGAATCCGAAACAGGCTCCAGCCTTTGTGTCTCAGAGCCTGATGCGGGGCTCGAACCCACGAACCCTGAGATCACGACCTGAGCCAAAGTTGGATGCTTAACCGACTGGGCCACCCAAGGGCCCCTATTTTTAGTTATTCCCATAGAGGTAACAGCGTGACAGAGAGGAAAAGCATGGCACTTGGTGGCAAAAAACCTTGGTCCAAGTTCCAGTTCTACCTCTTCTTAGCTCTAAGACCCTGGGCATTTCGGACCCTCAATTTCCTCATCTTCACAGTTTTCCCACAGAGTGTTGTGAGGATTAAATGAGACGGTGTGTGAAAACCCTGACACACTTGCACATATACATGGATTCACAGGCCCTCCCACTTCCAGTCCAGGCGACAGTCTTTGGATGTAAGCCTAACCCTAACCCTCTTCTCTAGCTTAGAACCATCCACACAGGTATCTCTCTGTCCATTCTTGCCATTCCTGATTTTGGTAGTTGCAGACTGATGCTCCCCTTCCTTTGTTGGCCCCTTTACGCTTCCTGCCAGTGTGAGGTTGACGATTCCGTTCTTATCTCTGTGTCCAGTGGCACTATCGCCGTTGTTCCCAGACACACTGATTCTGGGTCTGGAGATCCGGGTGAAAGTCTCAGACTATGTACAAGATCGGATTCGGGCCCTACGAGCAGCTCCTGGAGGTGGCTTCCAGAACATCGCCTGTCTCCGTAGCAATGCCATGAAACACCTTCCTAACTTCTTCCGCAAGGGCCAGGTGGGGAGGGGCCCCGGTGGGTCAGGCTGGTAGGCAGGTGGGGCATGGAGGCCAGCTCTGCAACCTTGTCGATGCACGTCTGTCTCACAGCTGACAAAGATGTTCTTCCTCTTCCCTGACCCACATTTCAAGCGGACGAAGCACAAGTGGCGAATCATCAGTCCCACACTGCTGGCAGAATATGCCTACGTGCTTCGAGTCGGGGTGAGTCGGGAGTGGGAGGGAGGGTGAGGTAAGTGGCCTCTTCAGAGACCTTCCACTAAGAATTCATTGGGGGTGCATGTAGGACTCACACCACTGCTCCCATCATCTCTCCGCTCAAATGCATGCAGCCCCCTGTCTAGAGTGATTTTGCCTACGCAGGGGCTGGTGTATACCATAACTGATGTGCTGGAGCTCCATGACTGGATGTGCACCCATTTTGAGAGGCACCCCCTGTTTGAGCGTGTGCCTCTGGAGGAACTGGTAAGTAGGGAGCCTGAGGGAAAGTGCAAAGATGCAGGCCTTTTCCAGAGTGGTTTGGTAGTCTTTGAACCCAGCTCGTTGCCAGGAGGACTAGATAGGAGTCTCAAGGCCAGGAGGCAATCTGAAAGGTGGGCAAGGATTTATTGGATCCTTCCTTTTCCCAGAGTGAAGACCCCATCGTGGGACACCTGGGCAGCTCAACTGAAGAGGGAAAGAAAGTCTTACGCAACGGCGGCAAGAACTTCCCAGCCATCTTCCGAAGAATACAGGATCCCACCCTCCAGGCAATGACTCCAAATCCCACCCCTCTTGGTCACTGACTGCTTACCTTGCCTGAGCTTGACCCCTGGACCTTGCCAGCTGAGACTACCAGGACCAAGAGGCAACAGTCTTTCAAAGAAGTTGGGGAACTGCCCAGGGCGGAAGCCTGGGATTCACAGCTACCCCTGACCTCTCAGAACCTGTTACCCCTCTACCACCAGCAGAAAGCAAAAGAAACTGGCTGGGAAGGTCAAAAGACCTTGAACCAGAAGGGATGTTTGGAAGGATGTGGGGTCTTGCTCTCCCTTAGCACTTCCTTCTCCTTCTGGGATCTCTCCTTCCCAGCTGGAGTGATGAATGGAATTCTCCACTGTCCATCTAAACTGCTTGCTAGGTTCAGATCGCCTGTCCCCTTGTGTTACTTTGCAGTCCTGTGGACAACTTGTGTGTGTGTGCATATGCCCCTGCTGCTGTTTCTCAGGAGAGACTAGAGCGTGTATCACATGCCTTCTCCCATTCCCCCAGCCTCTCCCTGCCTGAGACTTGACCCGAGGAATCTGCTGTCTTTATTGTTGCTGTCTCTGGAGAGTCAGGGCAGGGGACACAGAGACCCTCTCCTTTTTCATGTTGACCTTCGGTTCCAGAACTTCAGAGCTAACTGACTGGCACAGAGCCCAGTAGGGGCAGGGTGGGGGGAGTGAGGAGTAGAAAACTAAACTATGCTAGTTTCTGAGGCTAAAAGTGAAAAACAGCTGCTGACTAGAACTCCCCCCCCAAAGAGGACTGAATCAGCCAGAGATTTGGAGCAAACACTTAGCCCTTGCTCCATCCAGGAGCCCAGAGAAATCTCGGAACTTTTCTAATTTGCAAAAGGTTCCTTTGTCCCTGCTCGTCAAACCCCAGATTCCCATGGCTGGAAGGACAGCTTGACCTAAAACACCACTCCCTTCCTCCTCAGGAACAAACATGAAGGCTTCTGGAGCCATTTTAACACATTAACTCTCACCTACCATGTGCCCAGCGTCAGGTACAGAGTGGGAGAGAGACGGTAGTGTGGGAAAGTTCTGCTTATGTACAGAGAAGGTGCAGCCCCAGATGCCAAGAATATGGAAACAGCTACAGTTGTGCCTCTTCCCTTCCCGAAGGAGCTGGAGGCTGGGGAATTCCTGAGGATAGGCCCCAGGGGGCCTGGCTCCCTGGGGAGGTGGGAATACTAGGGACTGACCCTATACCTCGGTATCCTAAATCTCACCAAATAGCCTTTCCCAGGAAGAGATCTTCAGGCTGCTGGACTGGGGCACCAGCCCAGAAGGGGAAACTAAGGCAGGCCTCACCACCTCTCATTGCAATACGAGACCTAAGGGAGCTGCCAGGCAACTCCAGCCCCGCCTACTGTTCCTGGGTGTTAATCCCCAGCTCGACCACTCAGGAGAAGGGATTGGCCAAGGAGCTTGAAGAGGGGGCGTCACCACTACCTCTCCCAAAGCTTAAGTAGGGGTTCAGACAAGAAAGCTAGATGCTTGGGAAAAGTGCTCTCTTTCAAGGGTTCCCTGAACGGGACCATGACC